GTGGATTAACTGTGCCACTGAGACTATGGCGCCCGGAGGAGGGGAAAGAGATGGACGTTTAGAGCAAGGAAAGAGGGACTTTGGGTCTCTGAAGGATGGGCGTTCATATGAAAGAAGATTTCATTTTAAATTTTAAGTAGCTGTAAGGATATGAAATGCAGTTGAGAGAGAAAACATCCCAGGAAGGGAGAACTCCAATAAGATGTCACACATTAGCCAGAGTAGCAGAAAATGAACTGAATGGAACAGGGTGAGATCCAGGCGGCCAGGTGACCCGAGTACAGCCCTCTAGCAGAGGACTGCTAATAAGTAGCAGGACCCATGAGGATCCTTACAACCCTTTGAAAACACACGCACTCACAGTGCCTTTCTGTTTTAGCTTCTCCTTCCTTTCCTGTGTCGACAAAAGCAACAAGGGAGGAAGGGTTTGTTCCGGCTGACAGCTCAAGGTAGAGTCCATCCTGGTGAGAAATCAAGCCACCTGAGGAGCTGGTCACATGGTCACATGGTATACACCATCAGGAAGCAACAGTGGATGAATGCAAGCTGTCACTCAGTTCCATTTCTCTCTACAGCCCAGGATGCCTGCCAGGGGGTGGAGCCACCTGTGGTGTTTGCTTCTTTTCACCTCAACAAAATCAAGACAATCTCCTGACAGGCAGGCCCACAGGCCCTCCTCCTAGGCAAATCACGGGTCTGTCAGGTTGACAATTATCAGTACCATGGCAATGTCCCCAAGCACTAAAACCAAAATGTATGTGCTCCACAACCTCAAAGAGGATTGAAAAGAGACAAACTGAGGAACCCATATATTCCCATTTGAGTTTGTCACCCTGGAGCACAAAGTGTCTCCAACTCTGCAGGAACAGTCTACACCTCAAGATGGACATTAAGAAACAGGGTAGACCAATATTCATTTTAAACATGAGGCTAATTTTTCTAATAAGTGTGACCTAATTATTTTGACTTATTAAAATAATCACTCTCTATTTTGGTGTCCTCCACAGACTCATATACTTGTAGCCAGTAGCTGGTGTTTGGCCAGATATGGAGCCTTTAGAAGACTCGGGTGGGCTTTGAGGATTGAGAGTCTGGCCTCTTTTCTTGCTTGTTCCCTCTATGCTTCCCGGTGCCATTCATCCCTGCCGCGATGGAAAACAATTCAGAATCAACTCTTTCTTCTCAAAGCTGCTTTTGCTCATGCTCCTTCCCAACGCCGAGAAAGAAGTGTCCAGTGCATTCTATCTCACCGAAGTGTGGCCAGAGGCCACTGGACGCCCAATAGGGGCGTGCTAGGAATGCCAAAACCTTTAGCAAGTGGCATGCGACTGTCCTGGTTTGCTTTTAGGTTTGTTTATTTTCTGTGTTGCTTTGGAATGTTGAATGTTATTTGTTCCTTTTGCCTTTCATTTATCAAACATAACTCAGTCCTTATTAACTTTAACAATTCACACTTTATTCACGGACTTTGACAACATGCAGAGTGGTAGACTCCTGGCTCCCAGTACCACATAATACATCAAGAAGACCTACTACCCACACCTCTGATTTTTTATTATTTGCTTAGATGCTTTATTTTGTCATAAAGAGTTTCATATACTTTCATGCAAGTATATAATGTACTTTAAGCATATTCTCCTTCATCACCCACTATACTCTCTTTCAGCTATTTTCAATTAATTTTTATTTTATTTTCTGTGTATAAGTGGTTTTTTACATACATGGTTGTGCATCATGTGTGTGCCTGGTGTCCCAGGAGGCCAGAAGAGGGCGTGGAAACCCCCAAAGCTGGAGTTACTGATAGCGGTGGGCTACCATGCAGATGTTGAGAATCAAATCTGTGTCCTCTGAAAGGAGAGTCAGGACTCTTAACCACTGAACAATCTCTCCATTCTCCTTTGTTTTATATGGGAGGCTGTGGACACAGGGAGATAGTGTTCTCTTTAAAAAAAATTCTAATGAGCCACGCATGGTGGTGGACACCTTTAATCCCAGCACACTGAGAGCAGAGGCAGGCAAATCTTTGCATTTGAGGCAACATGGCCTTCAGAGTCAGTTCCAGAACAGCCAGGTCTATACAGAGAAACCTTATCTCAGAAAAAAAAAGAAAGAAAGAAAGAAAGAGTAAAAAGTCAAAAGCATTTTTCAAATTATTTGCCTATGCCATCTAGTAAATAAAATTAAGAATAAAACTAAATCAAATTACCACTTGATTACTGTTAAAGATAATTCTTCCAACAACATGTAGCCATAAGCTAGACTTAGGAGTGAGGCAGGAGGGAGCTTTGGAAAGTTACACATTATTTAATGGCTTCTGTATGAGTATTTCTATTTGTAAACTAGATATATCTGTCTTTGATGCAGGTGCAACTCAGAAAATACTTTTAAAGACTGTATGTGCTTTTTATTTATCACATGATATAGGTTTCTTAGAAGTTACTTGAAAATAAAATTGTACTGTGACTCTCATAAGAGAACTTATTAAAGCATCTTATGGCAAATATTCCATAGAATAAAGGTTATTCATAAAATTATACACTACTTTGTGAAGCTCAGAATCACCAACAGGCAAATTTGCAGAATTAATTTAATTACAGCAATTAATAGGTTTTATATTAATGTAAAGAAAACATTTGTCATACAATAAAATTGTGTGGAAATAGAATTTCACGTGGAAGGATTCCTTCCCAAGGCTGTAGAATTTCTGTGCATGCCTACAGTATGTTACAAGGTACCTATTCCACAAAAATTATAAATTCTGGTGGGCAAACCCATTCCCAATTTAGTTAGCTTAGGGTTCTCATCCTTCCAATTCAGATGCTGCTGCTGTGCTTTGATCCTGTAAGAGCGAGGCAGCATTAGGACCACATTGGTTCTGATGAAGCAGGACATCTCTGGCCGTGAGGAACATCACCCAGCCTAACCCAGTGTCCTAGAAAATAAACCCAGAGCTAAGCAGGAAGTTATGATTCTTTAGATAAGGAAGCTCAACTCCGCACAGCTTCTCAAGCTGAATTTTCACTGGACTCAATTAGAAAAACCTGTGGCAGCCACAAAACAGCAGTTGCTACTGAGAAAGAGACCCTATCTCCTGTCCCCACCGTGACCCGACTGCAATCTCCCCTCCAAATGAAAATGAATGGAGCCTTTAGGATCACAATGTCAACTACCTACTTGCTGGGGAGGCCCACTCTTAGAGAGGTGTGGGACTCTTGAACACTTGCTGAGTTCTTATTCGGACTTAGGTTCTTGTTTCTCTTGCAATGCCGTGAAATTTGAGATCATTCTGGATTTTCCAAAAGGCTTCACTTATAACTGAATGCTGCACTCATTATTTTTATTACTATTGTGATAAAATACATGGGGGAAAGCAGCTTAAGGAAGGAAGGATTTCTTTCGGCTCGCGGCTTGGCTACTACAGAGCACCAGTGGAGAAGGAACACCTCGGGAATGTGAGGCAGCTGCTCAGACTGCACCCCAGTCGGAGGTAGAGATGGATGCTGGTGCGCCTTTTAATTCAGTCTGGAACCCCAACAAACAGGACAGCGCTACCAAATTTAGGGTCCGCTTCCCATCTCAGCTTACCGAATGGTGCAGCTCCCTTACAGACATGCCCCGAGGTTTACCTTCTAGACAAGCCTGGACCCTGTCAGGATGACAGCACCTTTGTTCTATTCTCTTGCAGGTCCACCAGTTCTACCTGTTGGATTAGTAGATGGAGCGTCTAAGTGTGTCCTAAAGTCTACCCTATGGTGGGAAGCATCCGCCAATGCCATCCCGAAACGAGCAGCACACGACTGTTGGTCCACCACACAGACACGAAATCAGCAGTCATTTTCTGTCTAGAACAGAGTTTACTTCATTAGCCACGTTACACCGTGAGCTCAATCCAATTTCTCAAGCTGCAATAACGCAATCATCCAAGCTAATCATCTTCATGGCAAGTATTTAAAAGCACTTTCTGAGAGCCATCTCTTCCTGTGTCAGGCAGGATCAACATCAAGTCAACAGCTCATCGAGTCTCCGTTCTGTCTTCTTGGAAAGGCTTAATACTGTAGGAAACGGTTGTTTCTCGCAAGGGAGAGTTGTCTCTCACCCTTGCAGGCACCAAAAAAGGGCGTCCTGGTCAATAAAACCATCCGTGCGTAGCCACTCACAGCCGTGCTTTGAAAACTAGATTCTCACGATCCCTTAAGTATAGCTGCTCTTTTGACATCCTGCAGGACTGAGAATATTACAGTTTGGATAACTTCTACAGCGCTGCAGGACTGAGAATATTACAGTCTGGATAACTTCTACAGCACTTTGGATCATTGAAAGAGGCTTAGGGCAAAGAAGGAATTTTTTTAAAGCAGGGCATTGAGAGATAATTTGTACGTGAAATTCCATCCCAGACTACCACCTCATAGAAATAATAATGGCGGCTCCCTCGAAATGCTCCAGAGGACATAAAATTAATAAAAGAGCAGGAAGTCCAACCCCAGTTCAAGCTAACCATTTGACAGCTTCCTAACTTGTGGGTTCATCGTGGTCCTGGGTCTCCTTTTGCCGTCGAGCGAGCTCTCTTCTAACCCTGTGAGGAGCTCATTTGACCTGTGCCCTGGGCGAGTAACAAATTCATTTCTGTGGCTGCAGAAGCCTAACAGCTTGAGTTTCAAAAGGGAATGCTATCCTCTGCTCCTTTGCAAAGCAGCTTGGCGATGCTGAAAGTGAAGGAATCTCACCACTTCATGAGCCCCAGATAAGCAGTATCTGATGCTTGCTTCCCATTACAAACACTGTGATGTACACTGCGGGAGAACACTCAAGCCACAGACACCTCCCCCCGCAGTCAGTTCAACCCAGCTACATCGAAAGGATGGAGAGTGAACTCACTGATGTCTGATGTCACTTGATGTCTATTGTGATGAGTTATTTAAGAAGAAGTATGGGTGGCTCTGCTATCTGGCACTCAGGAACCGGCGACACACACAAGCATTGCCCAAGCTTAACATTCTTACCTTATAAACTTGACCGTACGTTCCATTTCCGACAAGTTCCACCAACTCAAAGATCCCTGCAGGGTCCTGAAGAAAAAAAACAACAATCAAAGTTTAAAACATCATCCAAGGCCCTGTCATCATTAAAAGCAAATGCTCAAAATAAGCAATTAAATCACTTGAATTTGAGGAAGGGCAGTTTTTAGATGAATGGTGTGAATTTTTTTAAACGTTTAATTAGACCACAGCTATGAAGTTAGCCAATTTACTTTGTTTTGATGTCACACTTCTATGATGAATTTAAATCACTGGAAAGGAAATTGTTTTCCATTCAAATAAAAGGGGTGGCTGGGGAAATGACTTCACAGAGTCCTTGTGGTGCTGTGGTGGAATAACCCTTTTGTACAAAATGAAAACGTGCCACTCTGATTGGTTTAATGAAAGCTGAACGGCCAATAGCTAGGCAGAATCTCCAGGCACAGAGGATGCTGGGAAGAGGATGGAAAGACACGAGGAGACCCGCAGGAAGTGGGAAAGCAGGATGGACAGTACACAGATGAGGTAAGTGAGCATCCAGGCAGCATGGAGATGAATAGAAATGGGTTAGTTTAACTTATAAGAGCTAGTCAGAAACAAGCCTGAGCTATCAGCCAAGCCTTCATAATTAATAATAAGTCTCTATGTGATTATTTGGGAGCGGGCTGGCAGGACGGAGAAAGACTGGCTACACCATACATGCAAGAGGACCTGAGTCACATTCACAGGACCCACTTTAAAAATCTGGGCATGGCCGAACATATCTAAAATCCCAGCACTAAGAGCTGGAGACGGGAGGGTTCCTGGACTTGCCGCCTGGCCACTCTAACAAACCACTGTGCTCCAGGTTCGGTTAAAGAAAGGAAGCCCTGTCTCAACATATAAAGTGGAGACTGCCTGAGGGGATAGCTGACATTGACCTCTGGCCTCCATACGTGCACACATATCCATGCATACCACACCTATATCCACATGTGTATACCCACATACAAACAACAAAAAGGAATCAGCAATGTTCTCACTATGGAATCAAGGTGCCCTTGCAGCAACATTGAGGAACTATGAAAGACACAGGCTACCTCGAGTAGTTTTTGGACTATTTCTACTGAAATGTTTGAGCTGCTTACTAAGGTGGATGACAGGAAGAAAACAAAGTATGCTGGCTAATTTGTTTGTTTGTTTGTTTTTAACAACATAAGCAAGAGTGATCTAGGAAGAAGAAACCTCAATTGAGAGAATGACCCCATGAGACTGGCCTACAGGCAAGTCTGTGCATGATCATGTTGTCTCATGATTGATGTAGGAGGGCCCACCCCACTGGTAATGCCACCATTGGCCTGGTGGTTCTGGGGTGGGGAAACAGCAGGCTGGGCGAGCCCGGGAGAGTAAGTCACTAAGCAGCTTTTTCCATTGGCACTGCTCTTTCCCCGTGTCTCTGTTCTTGTTTGAGTCCCTGCCCTGACTTCCCTCAATGGTAGACAGCGATCAGGACATAGCAGCCAAGTAAACCCTTTCTCCCCACTTTGCCTGTGGTCATGGTATTAATCACAGCAACCTAATATAACATGTTCCCGAATCGTGAGACAGTCTTCTTTACAGAATTCAAGAGTCTCCAAGAAAGAAATGGGGATCTAGAAAGCCACCTCCCTGAATGTTTTTCTCTCTCATCCCTATAATGCTGCCCTTGTACAATATGCGTTTGCAGCACTCACAGGGTAAATGAGGGATTTGGAATTCAACCTAAGAGAAGGATTAGGAAGTTTATGGCAGCAAACAGGTTTCTATCAACCCTCCCCTCAAAGCCAACTAGTGCCATGGGGCTCCGTGAATGTCTGACAGTCATTGCTACTACTGCTAAGCCACAATCTCAAGAAGTGGAAAGGAAAATGAATCCATAAAGTCCATAAAAGTTCATAAAATTCAAGTCTGAGCCAGAAGTTAGCTTTTACTCCTAAGATTCCTAACCAATAAGAAATTGTTTCTTTAAAAAAATAAACTGAGCTAAAAAAAATAAAATGGCTCAGAAGATAAAGGCCAGCAAGCCTGAGGTCAGGAGGAATCCCAGGAACCACTTGGGGGAAGAAAAGAGCCAAGCTCCAGGAAGTTGTCCTCTGAACACACACACGCATACATACGTACGCACACGTGCGCACACACAAATGCACTCACGGGTGAGCACACACACACGCACATGGACACACACAGAATCACACACATATACACGCTAAAAAAATAAGTGTAATTTTTAAAATGTAAAGGAATAGCTGAAGAGTCCCAAGCACAACCACCCACAGAGACAAGGTAGACCAAAGAGTGAAGTGACCCTGCTGGAGAAGTCACTCCTTGACTCGACAGGGACTGGAGGTGTGCAGTGCAACTCATCACTGCCCGGTCAGCGTCAGAGCACAGAACTGCCAGGTCTAATGATTTCTCAAGAAAACCCAGACTTTATTTTTTCGATCTAATTTTTAAGTGTTAGTGAATTAATTTAACATATATATACACACGCGCGCACACACACATATTTAGATAGATAGATAGATAGATAGATAGATAGATAGATAGATAGATAG